CCAGATTATTTTGAACACTTAAATTCGGGTTTTAATTTTTAGATTTCCGTTGGTTAATATTAATCCCGTTTTAATCCCGATCAGGTTCTGAACTCATCCAATTTTGATGAAAAAGTAGTGTTTTTCATGTGGAAACAACGTTTTAAGAAATACTCACTACATTAAGTAATGAGCACCACCCTATCGTGGCCAAATTCAGCCACTAAATATGATTTTCAGGCACTTTTATTTTAACAAAGTTTTTTTATACTTAAAATGTTTTCTTGAGTTTAATTGATAAAATTAATTATTTTGAAAGTTAATTAAGCATAATTATATGTTTTTATTGAAGTTTTAACTGCTGGAAATAGTTTCTAAGTACTACTTTTGATGTTTTATAAAGAGGGTTTAATCACCCATTAAAAAGAGAGATTATTAGGGGTTTTAAAATAATTTCAGATTTTTATTCAACTTTAAACTTGCTGTAATTTCATGTATAAGAGTATATTTTAAGGTTTTTATGAAGGAATCTTAAAGAACTATATATAAGCTTTTGATTTCAATTAAAGACAAGGTTTTAAAGTGTTGTTTAATTGGATTTTGAAGGTTTTAAAGTAAGTTAGTATTGCTGTAAATATGATTGATTGGGTATTGATTGAGATGTTATTGTTTGGTTTAGGAGAGGAGTTTATTGAAGGTGATTTCTAGTTAGTAAGTGGCATACCAATTCGTTTGCTCAAGGTACGTACAAGTTACGAAACCTTGATTGTAGGTGCATATTTAAGGACGGATCGAGAACTTAGTATCATGTATAGGATTGACTGGGTTGAATTGTTTGGTTATACATTGTGAATTTCAAATTATGTGCACTAGTTTATAATGCAAGTATTATTTGTGCTCTAATTATGCAAGGTGCGCCTAAAGGCAAAGGTATGTGATTGTTGTAAAGATTAATTTATTACTCATTCATGATTATGCAAACAGGATGAGTAAAGGAAGAATTCAAGTCTTATAAGACGAGGTTAAGGTTTTGTGGTGCCTTATGCACTCAAGGTGTTTATACACCGAGGTAGTAAAGGAATAAATAATAAGTGTTGTTTGTCACTAATGAATCAAGAATTGAAATTGAGAATTTGCCTTGTTTGATTGAATTGTGTTTAGAATGTTTGTATTGAAATGTATATGAGTCATCACCAAGTCTAAACTTGTAAATCACGTAAAGTGCAAGATGGATGAGCAATAAAACTCTGGATTGGTGCACATCTGGAGTAATGACAATCAGGGGTTGGGGTACATGGGGTATTAGCCGTGTACTTTTATCGAGGCCGTCCGATCTACGAGTCTCCTATTTCAAATATTATTTTTCTAAAACTAGGAGTTAGGTGAGATCTCATACTAACTACGGTCACGGAGTCGCGCTCGTGCTCGTGGTCGAATTCAAGTCTTAGAAAGGAGGCATGGGGTTTTTCTTTATTGATGTTCCAAATGGGACATGGGTTGGACAACCTTGTCTATTGCTAAATCCAATGAACTAAATAAATGAGTCAGTCAATATCAATTAGTGAGGTCTTAATAAATTTCATAATCGAGTCATGAATTGAGTCTGTATTTAATGATGCTTGTGCATGATTATTAGTAGCATGTTAGGTATTTTCTTAATTTATTTCGCAGCTTGTATGTACTCAGCTTTGCTGACTGCGTGCTTTTGTGTGTGTCTTTCTTTGGTCATGGCCTTCGCCCTTCAATGACCCTGTGACGATCCAATTTTTACACTTGTAATATTGGGGAGAAAATTAACCACATGTTCTTACATGCGCAGCATTCGCATCAGGGTTGTGGGATTTTGAGTAGAGAGGTGGTTATTATTCGCAGTTTATTTCTTTTTATAAGTTTGAATTTATATAAACTCTAGTTTTATTTATTTACTACTTTTTGTGGGGTTTTGAATAAGGGCCTTTATGGTTCCAAGTTGTATCACTTAATTTGATTTTGGTTATTGGTTTTAAAACTTATTTATAACTGATTTAGTTTTTCCGCTGCTAATTTCTGATATAGCCTTAACGTTTGAACACGTGGCGGTAGCACACCAGTAATTCTTTGGATTTTGTTCAGGGTTTTTAAAGGTTTTTAAGTGAGAATTATTGGGGTGTTACAGTTAGTCCATTAAAGGTAGTGATCGCGGTTTTCCTCAATCACTCGATCAATCTAGTATTGGACAACGACTCGTTTGAAGCTCGTGGACTAAGTAGAGGAGTAATGCTTGGGCATCTATTCTCTCCCAGATTTTCCAGTCAAATTTCTACGTACAATTCACGCTTCAAAGGTATAATTATGTGTCTTGTGTGTTATGCATGCGATCTTGGGATTAGGTGCTTGATTCAATATGATTCATAATTTTTCCGCTTAATAGTACCTATAAACTCCTAGAGTTAAGGTCCATTTGTACACTAGTGGAACAATGGCCATCCGTAACGGCCTATTTGTAATGGGCAAATAAATTCCCGTTAAAATCACATCATTTTTAATGGGCAAAGCCAATGTCCGTTACGAAAAACCAATGACTTGAGAAAGAAAAGAAGTATTCGTAATGGGCAATTATATGCCCATTACAAAAAGCTCATTGTTCGTAACGGGCACTTTTTTGCCTGTTACAAATAAAGACTTATTCGTAACTTACAGCTTATGCCCGTTACAAATAGAAAAGTCAATTGAATTTTGACCTGTTATTTGTAGCCAAAAAAAGTGACCGTTACGAATAAGCCTTCAAATTAAACCCTAACTTTTCATTTCCCCTTTCTCACTCTCCCTCTCTCCTCAAACTCCCTCCTTTACCTTCACCTTTTGTTCTCACTTTTTCACTCCCAAACTCCCTCCTTCTTCGTCGAACTCCATTGAAGCTCCGCCGGATCGGAAATCCCTCACAATTCCCTTTCTTCTCCCTCGGCTACTGGAGCACTTCTCGGCTACCAGTCCTCCTCAATTCTTGCCTTCTCCCTCGTAATTCCCTTTTTCTCCCTTGCAACTCCCTTCTTCTCTGTCGACTCCAGTGGTGTTCCCTTGACGCCGGCCGTCAGCCCCTTTCTTCTCTCTCGCAATTCCCTTCTTCTCCATCGGCTGCTAGAGCATCTTCTCGCCTAATTCCGGCCACCAGTTCTCCACATGCAGTCACCCTTACATTGCGGTATGCAGGGGCGGATCTATTAAGGTGCACAGTGAGTCACGTGACTCAGCAGCACAAAAAAAAAAAAAAAAAAAAAATCTAAGAGACCGCCTATTAGAGTTAGGCGGTCTCTTTGTTGCTTCTATTTGAGATGACCACTGTCATATTTTTTAAATATCAAAGAGACCGCCTATTAAAATATCAGATAAGTGGTCTCTTTGTTGCTGCTTTTGCCACCACGTCATTATAGACCTCTTTTCTAGATAACATGTCTCTTTTTGTCAGCCAGAATATTTTTTTGCGCTGCTTTCATATTTCATTAAAGAGACCTGTTATATTTAATAACTGGTCTCTTAAGTAATCTCACTTTTTTTTTAATAAATTCTTGTTTCTAAGTAAAAAAAATCATAAAGTTAGTTTAATGTAATAGTTTTATAGTATGTATTTTTGTGTCCTATTTTTGGATTGAAATCTTTTTGGTGAAATATAAATTTTTTTATATAATTTTTAGATTGAAATATATAAGTGATCAATTATTGATGGTGACTCATAAGTTCGAATATCCTAGATTCGCCACTGGCGGTATGCTAATCAATTTTTAAGTTTCAACTTTCACTCTACAACATAAATTTCTGCTTTATAATTTGACCAAGAGCACATTTGAATTCGTTTGATTTCTTTGAGTATTTTGTGTTATCTGTAATTTTAATTAGTTCACTAGTTCAGTACTTTTTTTTTTTTTTGAAGAATCACTATTTTGTAGTTCAATACATAGGGTATGCTAGTAATGCTATTTTTATATGTTTGTGGATTGGTAATTATTGTGGAAGCTGTGAATTTTTCATTGCAATTGCAAAATTATCATGAAATGGGTTTGTAATTGTTGTTTTCAGCACAACAAAGATAATTTGATCTTAAATTTTGGTAAAGCTTCACCATATTTTGACATTTGTTAGTGAATTTGATTTTGAGTGGTTCCAATCGGGTAACGATGATGGTAAATTGATGGGATTATTCAATTGGACACTCTTTTCATTTTTATATTAATCTATATTAGTACAAATATTATTTGCCAACAAGGGTATACTAGTAGTATTAGTAGTCACTTACAACAACAAACCGAATTTGAAGCTTGTTGTGCTACAATTTTCACCCTAAATTCCTATGACCTACAGGTTGTAGGTTGCAGATTCGCAACGTACAGGTCGAAGGTAGCTGCCAAGTTAAGACCAAGAAACTGAGAATATTCCTACGAATCTTCGAGCGGGAAAATGAACAAAATGCTATCCAAAGAAATCGGAACCACTACTAGCAGTCAAGCCGTTGAGAAAGACCAATTCAAACGTGGGAGTACCAGACCTGGAGACGTGGAGAGAAAGTAGGAACAGCTTGGGGTGTTAGCTCCGGATTCCTAGGGATTGAGGGAAAGAGCCGTTGAATATCTTTTGAATGCTTTTCTATTATATATAGGCAAGCCTAATCATTGTACAAGGCATCAAAAATATACATTAGCCTTACCGCTAAGCATCATCATAGAAAGCACCTACTATAACTACTCGTTCTATAATTTGTAATCCTTATTGTAACCTGTTTCACATAAACACCTAGTGGATTGGTGGACTCATATATAGCTGCCCGCTGTTTTTACCCTTATTCTTGGGGTTTTCTGCGTCATCATTCCTTGTGTCTTCTCCTCTCTTCCCTCTTTTTCTCTTCTATTAATCTCTGTTAGCATATTTCACCATTACAATCTAGCTGTAATTATCGTAACCCAGGTCGAACCTGGTAACCAGGTTTTTGACCAAAGCAGTTTGGCGCCGTCTGTGGTGATACAATTAGATAATTCAGTCCATCTTTCACCATGGGAGAAGACCCTGATCCAAACGCAAATGCATTAATCGAGCAATTGCGGGAAGAGCTGGGAGCCTCCATAGAGTGGAGACAGAAGCTCGAAGAAGAATCTCAAGCAACTTTAGCAAGATTAAAAGCTGAATCTGAAGCATCCTTGGAGAAGCTATCCAAAGAGCTAGAATCTGTCAGGAGCAACAAGAAGAAAAGGGTTAAGATCGATGACATACCCCAATTCACCCTGGTCTCCTCTGATGAATCTGAAGGTGAAGATGCAGGAGAAGGATCTCGTGGTGATGAGGAGCAATCTGATGGGAATCCCCACCCTATGGCCAGGCAAGTCGCCGTTATTAAAGCCCAAAACCGGAAAATGATGAAACTCTTGACCCGCTTACCAGTGCTCCTAAACTTGTAGCTTATGAATCTCGTGATGGATTCGCTGAATCCCCATTTGTGGAGGAGATTGCTAAAGTACGTATTCCCGCAAAGCTAAGCATCCCCTCCTTCCCAAAGATGTACGACGGAACCACTGATCCCCAAGATCATGTGGGCCTGTACAAGCTAAATATGTGGCAATTGTCAATTCTGTGGGAACTAATTGAGCCCACTATGTGTAAGTCCTTCGACGCTACTCTATTAGGACCTGCACTTCAATGACTTATCAACCTAAATCCAGGTACCATCGCCAGCTTCTCCAGCTTGGTGAACAAATTCTACCAACAATTCGCTACCAGCCGAGAGCTGGATAAGCAAAGCACTGACCTGTATCGGATCGTTCAGAAGCAGAACGAGACAACCCGGCAGTACTGGGACAGGTTCAATCGAGAAATTGTCAGCATCAAAACTTGTGACCACTCAACTGCCATCGAAGCCTTTTGCAAAGGTCTCAATTACAGATCCAGGTTGTATTATGAGCTAACAAGATATCCTTGCTCCTCATTTGAAGAAGTTAGAACCAGAGCAATGGCTGAAGTCCACGTGGAACAAGATGAGCATGCTAGGAACTGGGTTGAAAGGAGACCGTCGGGGTACCCAAGGAATCAATCCTTCAACAATCAAAACTCCGGCACCCGATAAAGTAGCTGGAAACCAAGGCGCAGCAACGTCAACAGCATATCTGAGCCAAAAGCAGGTGAAAGCTCCAGCTGGCCAGCTATAGAGTACCATCTAGATATCAACTCTTATGGTTTCGATACCGATATAGTAGGAGTGGTGAACGCTCTCAAAGATATTGGGCAACCGGTAAGGTGGCCTAGGAAGAGCGACAAACCCGACCACCAGAAGGATAAATCAAGGTGGTGTGAGTACCATGGAGACCATGGGCATAGGACTGACGAATGTAACAGTCTTAAAAGAGAAGTAGCCTGGCTGCCCAAAAGAGGCTATCTGAAAGACCTCCTTGGAAAGAAGGGAAAAGGGCCTGAAGTTAAGCAGGAAGCACTACCAGGTCCGCCAGCTTCGCCTACCCCAGGCGTTGTGATTCAAGCGATATCACGAGGATCTAGCATCAACGGTCTGACCTACTCCAATACAAAGCGTATAGCAAGAGTTGGCACCTCACCGTCCAGCATCCCCCAAACCTATCCAAGCAGTGATGAAAAGAAGTTGGATGATATGGCAATACTATTCGATGAGAGTAGGTTTAACGAGCCCGAGCATCATGATTGCTTGGTAATCTCCCTCCATGTGGGTCAATGCAAGATGAAGAGAGTACTGGTAGATAATGGAAACTCGGCTTATATAATTTTCAAAGACGCTCTAGATCAAGCCGGCTTCAAAGAGTCCGACATTACCAAGAGGTCTATAGTTCTGATCGGGTTCAATGGCGAACCTATGAATTCCTTAGCAGAAATCCAGCTGCCTACGCTGCTCAAAGGAATCAACATGATGCACAAGTTCTACGTAATAGACTGCAAAATCGCTTATAATGTGATAGTTGGAACCCCTTGGATCCATAAAATGAAAGCTATCTCATATACCTATCACCAGCTGCTCAAATTTCCAAGCCAGTGGGGAGTAGCAGTAGCCGAGGGAGATAGAAAGCAAGCGCGGGAATGCTACCAGCTCGCCCTAAAACCCCATGGCCCCACTATTTAGCAATGACAGAAAAATCCAGCACCCAAGCGCCCAGACGAACTACAATTAGATGAAGTCGTGCGGGATGAGTCAAAGCCGGAGCAAAAGGTTAAAATCAGAGCTGCATTGACAACAGATCAGAAAGAAGCTACCATCAAGTGCCTCAGAGAAACTCAGATTGCTTCGCATGGTCGCATCAGGATATGACGGAAATCAGTCCTGAAATCATCACTCATAAGCTGAACGTGGACCCAAATGTAAGGCCTCTAAAGAAAAAAAGGAGGAAATTTGCACCAGAGCGCAATCAAAACATCAATGAGGAAGTCCAGAAGCTGTTAGATACCGGGAAGATAAGGGAAGTAAAGTACCCAGATTGGTTAGCTAACGTGTTGTCGTCAGCAAGAAGAACAGAACTTAGAGAGTCTGCATCGACTTCACAGACCTGAAAAAGGCATGCCCCAAAGACCCATTCCCTCTCCCTCATATAGACTCAATGATAGATGCAACAGCTGGCCACGAACTCCTCACTTTCATGGATGCGTATTCCGGCTACAACCAGATCTTAATGCACCCAGATGACCAAGAGAAGACGGCTTTCATGACAGATAAAGGAATCTACTGCTACAAGGTAATGTCGTTCGGTTTGAAGAACGCAGGTTCAACCTATCAGAGGCTAGTCAACAAAATGTTCAAGGGTCAGCTGGGGGACACCATGGAGGTATACATCGATGATATGTTATTAAAGTCCAAGAAAGCAGCTGATCATGTGACCATCTAGAAGAAACATTCAGCATTCTCCGGAAGTATGAAATGAAGCTGAAACCGTCCAAATGTTCGTTCGGAGTAGCTGCAGGTAAGTTTCTGGGCTACATAGTCACTCAGCGAGGAATCGAAGCTAGCCCAGACCAGGTACGCGCTGTAATCGATATTTAATCACCTAGAAACTTGAAAGAGGTACAAAAATTAACAGGTAGAGTAGCTGCACTAAATAGGTTTATTTCGAGATCATCAGATAAATGCCACCTATTTTACAACGTCCTAAAGAAAAATAAAGGTTTTACTTGGTTTGATGATCACGAAAAGGTCCTACAAGACCTCAAACACTATTTAATGACGCCACCTTTATTATCTAAACCTTCTGAAGGAGAGTCTTTGCAGCTTTACCTCGCAGTCAGCACCCAAGCTGTTAGTGCTGTCTTAGCAAGGGTGGCTGAAAATCAGCAGTTACCTGTTTATTATGTAAGCAAAACTCTCCCCAATGCTGAAACTAGGTACTCCTCTCTTGAAAAACTGGTTTTAGCACTGATTGTAGCTAGCAGGAAACTTCGCCATTATTTCTAAACTCACTCGATAGTGGTAAAAACTAACTATCCTGTGAAGGCTGTTTTGCGCAGACCGGAGTTAACAGGTCGAATGAGCAAATGGGCAATTGAGCTCAGCGGATTTGGTATAACATACGAACCAAGAACAGCTATCAAATCACAAGCACTAGCCGACTTTGTGGGTGACTTCAGCCCTAATCTTGAACAACAGGCAACCTTGGAATCTGAACAGATCAACCAAGTCCGTAACCCAGGTACCTGGATACTCTATGTTGATGGCTCATCTAACTTTCGAGGTGCAGGCCTCGGTGTTATGCTGAAGTCACCACAGGGGGACATGATAGTACAAGCTATTTATTGTGATTTCAAAGCTACTAACAACGAGGCAGAATACGAACCTTTGATTGCAGATATGAATCTTGCAACGGACCTGGGTATTACTAACTTGCAGGTATTTTGTGATTCCCTCTTGATAGCAAGTCAAATGAACGGAGAATTTACGGCCAAGGATTCCAAAATGGTTCTATACCTAGACTTCGCAAAATCCTTAGAAACCAAATTATCAACCTTCACCATAAAGAAAATACCCAGAGACAAAAATACACAAGCAGACGCCCTAGCCAATCTGGGATCAGCCCTAAGAAAATCCAAATTCTCTTCTATCCCCTTGATCCACCTGCTAGCTCATGTCGTTGACACAACCAACCGCCCATCTAAACCTAGCGTCCCAGAACCTGTAAAACCCGAACTAGACAATCCAGAAACACCCATCCCTAATCTGAACCAACCTGTTAAGATCGAACCTGAAGAACCCAACTTCGTTGCACCTGTGACCAACCTAACCAGCTAGACACAACCTATATCCGATTACCTAGAGCACGGCACATTACCGGAAAATAAAGCGAAAGCAAGAGCACTCATATTTAAAGTCAGCAGATACACAATCATCCAAGGTGTCCTATTCAAAAATTCCACCAGAGGTATCTTGCAACGCTGCATAAGGGAAGATGGCTACGAGATGATCCTCAAAGATTTTCATGACGGAGAATGTGGAGCCAATTAAGCTGGAAGAACTTTAGCCAACAGAATAGTCGCCTATGGGTACTACTGGCCAACTTTGCGAGAGGATGCTACACAGGTACCTACGAAAATGTGATAGCTGTAAGCGACACTCGGGTATTACTCATAAACATTCTATGCCTTTGGATCCCACTTTGACACCGTGGCCTTTCATGAGATGGGGCATGGACATAGTAGGTAAATTACCTGCCGCCCCAGGTTAGAAGGTCTATATGTTAGCTCTAACAGATTACTTTTCCAAGTGTATTGAAGCTGACGCGTTCTAACAGGTTAGAGACAAAGAAGTTATCAATTTTATCTGGACTAATATAATCTGCAGGTTCAGAGTACCATCTAAAATAGTGTGTGATAACGGGTCCTAGTTCATAAGTGCCCCAACCAGAAACTTCTACGACAAATGGAACATCACACTAGTCACCTCCACACCCAGATATCCTCAAGCAAACCGACAAGCCAAATCCAGCAACAAAGTCATCATTGGGTCCTTAAAAAAGAAGCTAAAGGATAAGAAAGGTAGGTGGGAAGAAGAACGTCCAAGAATCCTATGGGCCAATAGAACCACACCAAGAACCGCCACAGGTCAGACGCCTTTCTCACTGGTATACGGATGCGAAGCTGTATTACCTACAGAAGTCACCACCCCAATAGCCAGATACGGCTTCATGACGCCAGAGCGCAATAGCGAGGAGCTGTCAAACGACCTAGATACCATAAAAGAACGAAGAGACCTAGCTCGCATAAGGTTAGCCACCTATCAGCAAATGGTAGCTAGAAGCTTCAATAGAAACGTCAGAGCCAGAATGTTCAAAGTGGGAGATTGGGTTCTAAGGAAAGTTTTCCAAAATACCCAAGAGCTCAACGCAGGTAAGTTGGGGGCAACCTGGGAAGGCCCATACCAAATTGTAGAAGTCATCGGCAAAGGGGCCTACATGTTAGCTACAACGAATGGTAAGCTGGTACCCAGAAGCTGGAACGCAGCACATCAGAAACTTTATCACTTTTAAAAGTTTTCGTTCAAAAAAAAAAAAATTGCATATCTATCTTTTAAGTCACCAGTGCTAACTTGAGCTTCGGAGGGCCGTTGGTGGCAGCACCAACGGCCAGCTTTAACTTGTTATTTTGCAGAATCAAAGGACCAAGAGAGGATAACCAAAGACAATCTGAAAAGAAGCAAGATGACACAAAAGGCAAAAATATTCAATAAGCAAAGCAGCTAAGGGCCTAAGCGCCAGACACCGCAGATTCACAGAAACAAAGACCAATAACAAAGCACATACTCAAGCCAAAGAAATCTAAGCAAATCTAAGGTATCAAACGGTTACTCAAAGGAAATTGATATGTAATGTTCAAACAGTAGAAAATGCAAAGTTTGAACCCCCGCTCCCACAAGCGAGGTAAAACAAGGTCTAAAAAGAGCAAAATATTATTTTAACAACCGATATCAAGAGTCGAAGAAAACAAAATCATCATGGATCAAGCATCAGATAGCTACTCATCCTCCTCAATCCTCCTAGGTGGGGACTCAAGCTGATGGCCCGGAGAAGACTCGGTGGTAGACTTCGTGGCCTCAGGTTCCACATGGTCAGCTTCACCAGATGCTAGGTATCTGATATAGCGAAATGTTAGATAATCATCAACTAATTGTCGAAGCTTCTTCAGACCTGCGTCCCCTTCAAACTTCTTCAGCAAAGATTTATTAGCCATATAAGCCTTAATCCTCAGAGTAACCTCAGCCTCAATGTTCTTGTTCTCATTTTCCAGGTCAACCAACTTCTTATACAGATCTGCCGCCTCCTTATCCTTCTTATTTAGCTCTTCACTTAGCTAGTAAAGCATCCTCTCTCTTCTTCATCTCCTCCTTAAAATGCTTCTGCTTACCCTCTAGCTGCAGGTTAACATCCTCTACCTTCTTCTTAGCCGCTTCTTCCTGAAGTTGTAGCATCTTTTTAGCCTTGTCAGACTCTAGCAGCTTCCTCTCCAAGCCATCAAGCTGGGACTTGGAATACAAAATGTTTTGGAAACCCTGTTGCACCAACCAAGCATCCAGCCAGTACATATCTATCTAGAAACAAATTAAACAGAACTAGTTTAGAATTCATACCTGTAGAACCAGTTAAGCCCCGTCAGCTAGAGCCAAAGAACCATCCAAACTCGCCAAGCGCTTAGCAGCTGCTGGAAACAGGAGCTTCTGAGCCTCTGGCCAAATCCCATTACTTGTGCCTTCCTCAGCCAGAAAGTCAGGAGGGAAACGGACATCATAGGTGTCCGGAATAATCACAGCCTCAACAGGAACATTAGACCTAGTACGAGGAATCCTAACCTCTTCTCTGTTAGAAAGAGTCCTAGAAGGGCTTTTCTTAGCCCGGTGAATAGTAGTATCAATCGAACCACCTGCTGGGCTGTCACCCCTCTTCCTTTTGGCACGTTGCAGTGCCTCTTCCCGAGACATGATGACATTCTTCCTTGGTACAACCAAACAAACACCATTCCTTAAACAAAGTACACAGAACCGTATGCCAAGCAAACCAACAACCACAAAAGCTATACCTGAAGACATAGTAGCACTAGCAGTAGTAGCAGAGGGAGTAGGGAGATCGCCTATAACCTTCCCAGGAATTT